TCATCACCAGCTAGTTTAGATGGTGTTATCTCTATCTCCAGGTAGTTAAAGTAGGTAGAACATCAACTTTGTTCATCACCAGCTAGTTTAGATGGTAATATCTCTATCTCCAGATAGTTAAAGTAGACAGAACATCAACTTTGTTCGTCACCAGCTAGTTTAGATGGTGTTATCTCTATCTCCAGGTAGTTAAAGTAGACAGAACATCAACTTTGTTCATCACCAGCTAGTTTAGATGGTGTTATCTCTATCTCCAGGTAGTTAAACTAGATAGAACATCCGACTTTGTTCATCACCAGCTAGTTTAGATGGTGTTATCTCTATCTCCAGGTAGTTAAACTAGATATCTACCTGATTCAGAGTGTGTATTGTTGTGGGCTGTTTCAAATATGATTTAATTGTTATTATGGTATTTGTATACATGTGTTCTGCAGGTCTCCAAGTATTTTCTCTTTATGTCTATTTAGAACATATTTCTATGGTAACCTTCATAATATTGTTTTACCTGATAATATTACATTCCATAAGTTTTGGGCATAGGATTATCTATATGTTTTTATTGTAATTAATACTTATTTAGTACTAATAGCTATTTGGAAAGTTGATAGAACAAGACAGCTATCTTTGGTAATACTATTGGTTGATAAAAGGTACAGAGTGTAATATGTATTATGTTAGTAAAGGCAAGATGTCTAGTACATATAAAGTTAGTAAACTCAGGATGTCTGGTATGTACCAGGTTTATAAAACAGGTGTATGGTACATGTGAAGTTATTAAAGGCAGGATGTCTGGTACATGTGAAGTTATTAAAGTTAGGATGTCTGGTACATGTGAAGTTAGTAAACTCAGGATGTCTGGTATGTGCCAGGTTTATAGAACAGAGGATGTCTGGTATGTACCAGGTTTATAAAACAGGTGTATGGTACATGTGAAGTTATTAAAGGCAGGATGTCTGGTACATGTGAAGTTATTAAAGGCAGGATGTCTGGTACATGTGAAGTTAGTAAACTCAGGATGTCTGGTATGTGCCAGGTTTATAGAACAGAGGATGTCTGGTATGTACCAGGTTTATAGAACAGAGGATGTCTGGTATGTACCAGGTTTATAAAACAGGTGTATGGTGCATGTGAAGTTATTAAAGGCAGGATGTCTGGTATATGTGAAGTTAGTAAAGGCAGGATGTCTGGTACATGTGAAGTTTGTAAAGTTAGGATGTCTGGTATGTACCAGGTTTATAAAACAGGTGTATGGTACATGTGAAGTTAGTAAAGTTAGGATGTCTGGTACATGTGAAGTTAGTAAAAGCAGGTTTTCTGATATTCAAGCTTAAAGTATTTTATTTGTATAGTATAATGTATATACATATATCCACACAAACATCAGTAAACTTGCCCCATCTTTACTAACATGATTTCATGTTAACATCATCCAGAATTCATCTGATTTTTAAAACTTCCACATTTATTTACTGTTCACCATGTTAGTCTCGTGAGATCATTTTTATATAATTTGTGCATAAAACACAATTATAACACACAACAATTTTAAAAAAAGTTTTGTATTTGAAAGCTAAAAAAAAATAATTTCAATTTTTTTTCCTCTCGCTAATAGAGATTTGCTGTTAATTTTTAAATGAAATTTGACATCATATGTTAATAGTTCGGTAAATTATGTGGTAGTGTTTGAAAAACTTGTTATATTAGCAGAGGCATTGGAACATGTTTGACTTGTATAGCAACTGTAAATTGTATTGTTATACTAATTTTCTGGGGGGGGGACATGCCCACAGACTCCTCATAGATTGAGCAGCCTTTGGCAGCTGCTCCTTATAATTTCAATCTCTCAATGTAAAATCCACATGTCCAGCCAAGCAACCCCACTTTGCAACTCCTTTCTACACCACTGATTGAGGAATGTAAATAGATCATATCCTAATAGAAATAACCAGTTTTAGTGTTATCGTTGCTCAATATCTGATTAGGTTTAGTCTATAATATAATGTTTTAATGCAAGTTTTGAATTTTTTCTTTGAGCAAGAATGTTTATGTATCTTCGTTTAAACTTAAATGAAAATATTATACAGTTTTACATTAGATGTGATGTATAAATGATCTTCACTTGAAAAAATGTGTTCATTAAAGAAACCGTCCATATATTTTCACGCGCAATGCCAGAATTATGGTTGTTCTACAGAAGTAAAACACACCTCAGAGGGCTTGTCTGACTTATAGTATTTCACATTATATACTGTATTTTTATTATGTAAAAACAGGTATATTAAAATAAATATATACTATTAGAATAAGCTGTTGAGAGTATTGCTTAAATTTTAAACCAAAAAATACAACATCGGCGGTTTGTACACGAAATAATCTTAAAATTTACTAATAAACTTCGTAATATTTTCTGTTAGGCTTACTTTCAAGAAAACCGGTTATTCCAAGCGATAATTACGCTATAAGAATACTACAATAGCACACCTATCGGCTAAAGTTGTAATAAAGAATAAGCCTATTGTATAATTTTGCGCTAAACAACAACCAAACTACATAACAGAAATATCGCAATGAAGTATCACTGCACAACAGTGAGTTGAGTAATATTCCGCTGCTTCACATGAAGCAATCGGATGGCGGTGTTATACAACAACTAGATTATTCCAGATAATGCAAATATAATACCTTATGGTGTTTTTTTTCTTCAATCCCGTTTTTCTATTCCTTATACTTTTTTTTAACTTTTCAGCATATGGTATATCTCATTTATTTCAACAGGGGTACTTAAATAAATAAATAAAGTTAATTCTACTTTGAATGCTTTCACATTTGGAATGAAAAAAAAAAAAATATTAGCTACGTTTCTGTAACTGTGATTGTAGGCCTATGGCCGTAAAGTTGTTAACAAATTCTAATTACTTTTATGAGATGAAGACATTCTACGTGTGATTTCATTTTCTTATATTTACACGTATGTATAAGTACTCTATGATGAACGTAAAGAGACTTAAACCACTTATGCTTAATTGATATTATTGTGGTAAAAAATAGAGATAAGAAGGAATATATATATATAAAAATAATGTTACTACGCTTAAAATGTAAACACACAAACCACGAAATAGAAACTCGAACCTTGGTTAGTTAAGAATCACAGTGGTACAAAAGTTTTGTCCATTGTAATATCCGTGAATTAGACTACACATGCCAATAGAAACATTTCTTTTGCTCAACATCTCTTTAAAAAAATAATGAATGTTCAATCTCAATGACTAAAAACTTTCATACTTGAATGGCTACCCTTAGCATCACCAAACAACTATTCTGAAAGTATTTATCTTTAAACTGTTCAGTGGTTTTTGAAATTATTTTAAAGAAGTTTTATATATCATTGATTAATATTGACTTATATTCAAAGCAAGTTACCTGCTTAGAGCAAAACTAAAAACCACCATGGTAACGAGCAGGGGCGATGCTAGCCTCTTTCCGAAAAAAGGGGGGGGGGGGCTAAGGTGGGCTAAACAAAAAATTGAGACGCTTCACCCTAAATCTTTTACTGACACATGATGTAATATTTAAGAGGTGAAATAGCCTTAACAGTAAGAACTTTTTGTTGGGTGTGAGGACTATAGGGGAGGCAAAAGCACATTTCGGGATAGTTTCTGAAAATTGAAAATTTCAAATGTTAAGCCATAATGTGACGTATAACTCCCTCTGGCCAAACAGAACAATACAAACCTCTGATTTCG